TATGGTGATGAATCGCTTTACAAGCTCTAGAGTATGGAGATTTGCACCCCATAATGCATCGCATGCTCTTTATAGCTTTTGCCATTATTGTCAACTACATTATGTTTTTATTTGTTTTATTGTTTATTGGAATCTGGATAACCCAAGTGTGTGAACATCAATAATAGACATTACAGAGATGTTAGTAACAGTAACTGTAGATTTTTACTAAAAAAATCCATATTTTTACTTTGGTTTGAAAGGAAGTATAATCTTAGAATAATGTTTTCTTTCAAAATTAAATGGTGGTGAGCCTCTGATCTACTACCATATATTTTGTTTGTGTACAAGTGAAGTCGACCTCCAGTTTACTACTGTACTAAAAGATTATTTGTGTTGTTGGTGTTTAAGTGGACCCTTAAAGACCATACCCTATCTGTTCTGGTGCATTACCAATTTTAATGCTTTATTAATTACTTGATTAAATAGGCCTATTTAATTAAGTAGATAAATCATCAGGAATTTTGAAAATTTATTAACAATATATTTAATTTTTATGTTTAACCTTTATGAAAAATATCTTGTACAGTTTTCATACTGAACTAAATCATTGGTACTCGTATGTAGGCTTGGGCCTAGTTTTACCCTCGGCAAAGTAATTTGCACATGTTGCAGCATATACCTAGGGCCTAGAAAAACAGGCACATAAAATGTGTTACTGTATACCTACACTGTAAACATAATACAATACAAGCAAAGATTAGTCGATAATAAACATTTACTACTGTATCTCATGGATGGTTTCGTAAACTAGGCTCCATGAATTTGATATCAAAACTGACATTTGCTGGACAAAATGGGAAGAATTTGTAATTCTCTTCAAACCTTTTAAACAAAGAAAGGACTCACTCACAGGCTTTACAAATATATTAGTCAGGTGTAAATTCATTATTTATTCTCAGAATTAATGATGTTTCCCTAACAGGTTTTTTTCAGGAATTTCAGTATCTTGTTATATGTATAGTATAGAAACAGATGGCGCAAAATTTGTTTCTGTTGCAATTTGTTCTGGGTCTGTTCTCGATTTGTACTATAATTAATTAAATTCTATATTGTATAATGTAGGCCTAGGGGCAAATTTTAAGCCCTCGGTGCCTGGTCTAGAGAAGGCAAAGATAATGGATTGGACTTTAGTGCAAAATGGACCGAAGTTGTCAAATAAAATTTGATACTGTAGTTGGTAAAGGCCTTTAAAACATATTTCAACCAATATATTTACACACTACACACAGTGATAATATTCATGCAACTTACAAGTAATGCAATAATTCAGGTTATAGTCTTAACATACATACTGTAGCAATCAAAAATAATACTGTTGATTATCATGTAATCTACGTTTGATGAATACAGGCCACCATAACCTTTAGCCTGCTTTGGTCTCGGCGGTTAGGTAGATCTAGGCCTACTTGTATTTGAATGATAAACATTGGGGGTGATAAAAGGCTTGCATTGCTGCTGCACAACAATGTCCCTAACTCAGCTTAGCTTTTTTATTATTTATTCAATAAGTAAAGCAACAAAACTGGTGGATGACAAGTAGTGCCGTATTTTCTGAACTTTTCCACAGGTGAAATAATAAAATCGTACTAGAAGATCCTGTGGGAAAGATAAAAGCCCGCGTACATGTACTTAGCTGAGACAATTAAGTTGGTAACAACCCAATTAAAATCTGCTCAGAAGCTTTCTTTAAAGCCTTGTTATTTATTCAGTTGTAATGCATGCGCAGAATGGCTTATGCTAGCAATGATACCTGGCATTGTTTGTTTTTTTTTTATAGAATAAAAATGTATATAACGTAGTTAATTAATATTACTTGAAGGAAGATAAATGTAAATGTAAGATTATGAAAGTTAATTTAAATTTAATTTAATGCTTAACACATACTATAATAATGTTTATGAAACTGATAAGCCTGATGTCATGTTGGTATTGAATATAAATACTTTTGTATTGCACATTATAAATGCTATCTTATGTTAAGCGCTGATGATGAAAGAAATTATGTAAATGTGAGATTATGAAAGTTAATTGTAAATGTAATGTTAACCACATAATAATGGTTATGATGAGGCCTGATGGTATTGATAATTAATAATCATTTTTTTTCAAGAAATTAATCAGCAAGTTTTTAAATAGAAAATGGGTAACAGCTGGGCATATTGGTTTAGATTGAAAGTAAATATTGAATAATAGTATCTCAGTCTGCTAAGTAATTCAGTAGGCCTGTTTGTTGTAGTGATAATATTTAAACTGTATTTATACATATTTCTGTACGATTTAAGCTGGTGAGACAATTATGATGTAGTATATAGTATATAAAGTATTTAAATGAGAAATAAAGAAATTCAATTAAATTGACCTCAATCGTGTAAAACATAATAATCTTGATAATTATATATATAAATTTTAAGGAAAAAATAACAAAAATAAGTGATAAAACTGGTTATAAAAAAATATTGGTTGATGTACTTGGTTTAAAATACTGCAAGCATAAAGTACCCTGTATATCTTATGATAATGCTGTGAAACTTGAAGCCAACATTATTTTTAGTAAATCAACATTAGATAATTGAAAAACTTGTTCTCTTATCCTTGCAAAGGTTCCTTTTCCCTGAAGAATTCTTCCAATTTCTATAGAATGATTGACGTGCACTATAATACTAGTGAATTTAGATCAACTCAACGATACAGGTTATCAAATCATCTCCGTTATAATAGTTTTTTTGATTCAGAGATCCTTTTTTCATGTATTATTTCTACAGTGATCATGTTTCAGTAGTGGATAGGTTTTCTTTGGTCGTATTTTCTCTTAAAAACCTTATCATGTCCTCGGGTTGTTCTATTTCAGGGTCTCATTTCATTTCGATGAAAGCATTCATATTCGGTGTTTCATATCCTTTGATGATTTTATTTAGTAGAGAACCTTTTTGGCTTTCAAACTTGATGTTTTTCAAGTTATTGCTTGTTCAGGTATTCAACTTTCTTGTAACGTCATGTATTTCAACAATAAGATTCACTTTAACATCTAAAGCTTTTGAATAAAACAAAAGTATTGGAACACAAATACATACTATTGTTCGGTTCACAGGAACTTAAGTATGTCTATTATTCAGATTTCTCAAATTTTAATTTTTTTTTTTCTAAAGTGTAAGTGAATTTATCCTTTTGTTTTGTAAATGCCATGCTGCGGATGTTGAGAAAAATTAGTTCATTAAACCCTGATTGATGACTCCATTCAATGTATCATGTCGATGACCTTTTTAGAAAATGACTGGAATTAATTAATGCTTCTTATGGAAAGTGTGCAAATCGAAAGATGTTGGTACTATAGGTATGAAATTATTTGAACAGGTTAACATACAGAGAAAAGGGTAATATGGATTTATACTTTTTCAAGCATCCGTAATTTTTTTTTTTAAATTACTGGATCGTAAGTTAACATGTTGTAGTTATCGTCAGTTGGCTAAAACCATAATTTTTTTTATTTTATTCAAGATGCAATATAATTTATTATATAGTTTATTGCAAAACGAAAGTCTTGAAATGTACAATTCAGATAAAATGAGAAAAGACACATTAAATCATATCAGTAGTAAAACCTGTAGTGAAATCATTGTATCTTATTATTTAAGAATATTATACAAGGCCTATTAAAGTAATGTTCAACTTCAATAATTAAAATAAAAAAAAAAAAAAAAAAAAGCCAACATCCATGAAAACATACAAAATAATTATGCAGGTATTCATTAGGCATAGTAAGAAAATAGGATAAAATCTTTAACAAACCATTTTAAATTTATATGAACACATTACTACAAATTGAATGCATTAACCATTTAGTATGTAATCTATTTATAGTTCTATTCATCAAGAATTTTGTTATTTATTTGCATATAGAATATTACCTTCTTTTTAAAGTGTACTGGGAAACAAATATACTGTATGTTTTATATTACTGTACAGAATCAGTTTGTAACTTTTGACACATTGGTAGATAAATTGATATTATTATCATGGACACCACCAAAAAAATCATTTTCCCTTTATTATCATAATTATTATTTCAAAAACTATTAAGTATAACATTTTATCTAAATACTTTACTGTAAAATTCATGTTGTTTTAAAAAAAATCAAATTCTATATTGTTCCCTTTAATTTCAAAAGTGTTTAATTAGATATTCTGATAGCCTGTACACCATGATGAATTGTTTGCGTGGTAGCTGAGATGACGGCGCTGTAATTGGTTTAAAACTATTCCTTCAAAGTTCTCATTTTCAAAAGCGCATTCAAGATGTCTACCTATATCCTCATTACCTAATAACACATTTTCTCACCATGATTGAAAGAGCCATTAATATGTAATCGTATGATACATGCAAAGCCTCAAAGAGAGTGATTTTGAATGCGCAAATGTGTTTCTAATGCCAGCTGGTCAGTTAAAGATATACTCTGCCATGAACTGAAGAACTGAAAAATTCAATTTCATAATTTAGTATCTGACTTCTTTTTTCTTTATACCAAATTCTGTTCCAAAGAGAATGCACTTATTTGTAATGATACAAATGATGATTATTAAAGAATACCTGTAACAGTAAATTTATTTTTAAGATTTTTCCACCAATATAATATTTATTTATAATAAGCCTGTAAAATAATGTCATTTCATATTATAGTTACTTCATGTTTATATGTTGCTACCTTAATTTCATATTTATCACTTATGATTAAATGTTTTGAACTAAAAATAATAATAACAGTAGATGGATTTGTATAGTGCAGATAAGTGAGGTCTCTATGCGTTTAAATCTTGCATGAAATTATTTTTCTTTTTAAGAATTTGTGTGCAAGATCTTTCTGTCCTACTCTTTAGATTAATTTTAAAACTATGGGAAGTTTTTCTTTTCTATAAGTTAATTAGCTAACTTATAATTTTTTTACATCTGTTTTTTCTTGCAGGTGTTAATTGCGAGATAAATTACAACGAGGATAGGTGTGAAGATGAGCACTACATTTGTAAGAACGGCGGCAGCTGTGCCAACTTTCTTGAGGGTGGTTTTGAGTGCATATGCGAGGTTGGATTCGATGAGCCTTGGTGCGACATGCGGACTCGGAACTTCCCAGAACGAGCATTCCTTATGTTCTATGCTCTGACACAACGAATAAGGCTTAAAATTTCATTAAGGTTTGTCTGATTATTTTCGTTAATCATACATTCACGACATGGAACACTTCATGATTCTTATTTTAGTTTTGTGGTTTGTTTATAGATAAAGAACTTTTTTTCAGCAGATAAGAACATCTTGAGCCACAATCGCACTAGAATTTTTTGGTAAAAATCGCGAGACGCTGTTAGTTTTACCATATTTAGTCCAATGCGAACAGCCCAGAAAACTTTGAACTGATTGGATTGTGCCTAGTAAGCTGCCCAGGTTAGTTTTACCGAGCCGAAAGTCCAATATGAACACATGCCTCGGTTAAACTTCACGAGTCATTTGAGTGCTACTCTGTGGAGATATTACAGATTTGCGCCCTCAATAGTTAATTTTCATAGCTCGGTTAGTTTGACCATTTCTAGCAGTAAATCTAGCCTACTGAAAAAAGTGCAGACAGCAGTAGATTTACCCATCAGTATGTTACCAACGGTCTCGGTAAAATCATCCCCTTTTTTTAAGTCTGGTGCAATTGCGGCTTTCCATAGGATCCTGATTAAGATATAGGCCTCAATGAAAATTTTTCATTGTTTTTAAAAGACTTTTGATTGGAAAACATAAATTGGAATTAAATACTCAACTTAAAGCTGTCTGATTTTTATATAATTTTTTTTTCTGCTAATAACCAACATTATGGAAGCTACACAAATTTTGAAAGATATTTATCAATTTATAATGTCCTAAATTTCTCTCGCTCTCTCCATTTTACCTTCATCATCCATCACTCTCTCGATCTTTCTACTGACCCCTTTCCCACTCCTGTCTCATTGTCTCATAGAATACATTAATGATTCTAGTTTGGACATTTACTATACTACTCACCATCTTTTTAGGTGGAGTTTTCTCATTAAGTTTAATGCTACAGTATTTTCAAGTTGTATCCAAGGTTCCCCATTAACTTGTAATTTGACAGATACACTAGCCTAGACAAGTTCCATTTCGTATGTACTATATTAAACATCATAAATTTGGCATTTGCAGTAATGAAATTTAATTTGTGCTCTTCATGGACTGTTAGGTTTGCTAAAATTAGAAAGGCAATGTTTGAAATTATTGAACATTTTTTCTCCTTGAACCAGGTCAGAAAAAGGTTAGCTTTTCTAGTTGAATAAATTCATTACAAAAATAATAATAATAATAATAACACCTACAGTCCATTTTACATGTTGCATCTACTTTGTTTCCTATGTAAAAAATTTAAATAATTAAAATTTCCTATTTATTTATTTATTGAAAAGTATTTAAATATCTTCAAATTTTATTAGTACTTTGTACTTGTTGGTAAAATGGATATATTTTTTGTTGTTCTTTTATCATTTCATCTTAATGATATTGAATTAATTTTTTCCTAATTTTATTGACTATATCTAAATAAATGAATTTGATATTTGGGTCCTACAGTAGACAAATAATATTAACTCTTGTAATTGATTTGTTTGTACAAACATTAGCAAATTAATAAGGGTCGATGAATGGGGGTCAATGAACGGGGCCACCTGTTTGGAAGGAGATGAATGTAACCCACAGGGAAATGATGGGGTACAATCCCCTAGGACAATTTCTACAGAGTGTTAACATACAGTACCACCATGTTTTCTAGGCCTTGTTTTTTTTCCATCATAGCCTCTGTCTACGTAGTTATTTACCATTGTAGAGGCTTCCTCTGTGTAAACTTTATGTTTACACAGTGCTCCATAAATGCCTTGTGACCACATATTGACCAATAGCCGAAGTTTGCTGGGGGAACAATATTTGATATTTGGATAAGAAAGTCAAACATTAGGCCCAGTTACCGAGACTACCAATAAAAGAAAACCCTTGTGTCCTAAACGTTGTCTATAACCTTTGCCCTTCAATAGTTGTATTCCTATCATATGCAATTTCTCAGTCGTCATTATTCAATCATTGTCTGAACAGTAATTAATATAAATATTATATTTTATGACATCAATAAACTTGGAAGAGTTTATGTGTTAAAAAATCAGATTCATGCAAGTTCTGAGAATGTTTATTGAAAAAATTTTCATATTCAATTTATTTCTGCTTGTCGTGTTCTCTCTAAATTTAATTATCTGTAGTTTTAGCTTTCTTTAAATATTTTTTTCTTATACATTTTTTTAATCTGTTACTGAAAATTTTTTTCAATGTTAAATTCCAAAGTAATTCTTTATATAATGAACTTCAGAAATTGTCTGGATAGAAAATCTTTATTGTTAATATAATTTAAACTTGTCTGTAAAAATGTAAACTAGAGACTGTATTATCTGAATATTTGTGCAAATAATATTCAACATATTGATTTTTTAA